GTCCTACTTCATGTGCCTGTAGCTTCCCCTTCCTGCTCTGCAGCGTGGGTCTCTCAGGTGTGTCACAGCAGTGTGCACTACAGCAGGGTCTGAATCAGAAGAGATGGATGGTTGTTGGGTCTCTGACCGGGTCTGGGGGATTGTGCTGCTCGTGTGCTGAGGCAAGCTGCTATGTGTGACTGGACAGGGTTGGCCCAGCAGCTCCTTATCACAGGGAGCTTGCAAGCAGTCATGCTGCCCTACATGCACTGACCTTTGCTGCCTGGGTGGTGAAAGTGAGATGGACAGAGCTGATGATTTCAGTCCACCGCAGTTAATCTGAGATCTTTCTTTGTGATCTAACCAGTGCTTTGGGGGGGGAGAAATCATAAGTGGTAGAGCTGCTTGAAAACAAATACTCAATTTCTGTCACAAGAAATTCCATCTCTCTTCACCTGTGACTCAACCCATAACTGAAACAACTTTTGGTGTACGCACTTCCCAGCAGCACCAAACCCTTGTCTGTTGCAGAGAACAGGCTCACTGACAAATGTGTGGCTCCTTTCTTACAGCACGGGAAGGATGGCCACTGTCCTTGAAGTCTCTGAGCTTGCCTGAGCTGTCAGCTGTCCTCGAGAGATGCGTGGGAGAAATGGGTAAGGGGGGAGACTGCTCACATGGTGTGACTGCTGGAGGAGGGAGGTGTGGCAGGGCAGGGTTTGATCATTTCAGAGGTGTGGGTTGGGGGGACCTAGTAACCCCCTCTCATCCTGGGAAGTCTCCTAGCTATAAAGCTGTCACTGGCATTTTCTTGCTCTTAATTCTCACTGTAGATGTTGAGTTGTGCTTCATCCTCTGCTGACAGATCTGATCTGAGAGGAGTCCGTAACCCATTTCTCTCCTACTGATCAGTAATCAGAGCTGCTGGTGCAGGGGTTTGGAAACCCTGTGTCCTGAAGACAGGAGCTTGTCCAAGTAACAGGGCTCTTGTTTCAGAGCCCTGAAAGCTGCAAGGGTAAAGGCAGGATAGCAGTCTGCAGGCTGTTCTTGACCACTTGCAGGCTTGTAATGACTTATGTGCAGCTTATAATGACTCTTTGCTTTTGGTTTGCCCTCAGGAAAAGCTCTGCAGATGGTAACTCAAAACCTCCAAAGGCTCCAGGCCCAAGGGCAGGGTGCGCAGAGCTGGCTAGAGCCATAACAAAGCAGGATGGTGAGTGGGACCTAAAGACAGCCACAGAGGGGCCGTGGGATTGGGGGGGCATTATTCCTTACAGCAGGTAGCAGCTGTCTGCTGCACGTGCTCAGTGCTTGTCATAGCCTCTGACTGGGATTTTCATTTGGGAAATGCTCTGTGTGCTCTGCTGGAAGGGTCACTGTGCTGCTGTTCCTGGTGCCCGCAGGAATGCTGACGTCGGGTGACTGTTCCACCCGGAATCTGAGCATGGAGGGAGAAGGAGCACAGCGCTGTGCTGGCAGCCGCAGCTCTGCGGGGCGTTGTGACAGCTGGCAGATGTGTGGACAAAGGTCTCGGCCATCAGAACGTGCCAGGAGGAAGAGAGACGGCGGAGGACAAGGGCACGGCAGCTCTCTGGGCCTGATTCCTGTCGAGGTTCCCAGGACTGTGCTGTTTGTACCAGAAGTTCAAGTTAAGAGAAGAAGCCCAAAGGATTTATCTGCCTTCAACTTCCTGCAGCCTTTGTTGTTCAGGGCTACGTTGTGTTAGAAAGCTGGCAGCTGCCCACAGCCATCGACTAATTATCCTTTTCCACATCCTATCCTCCCCAAGGCCTCCAACTGATGAGTGGTAGTTGCTGAGGAGCTGACACAGAAAATGTGTCTGAGGCAGTAAGGAGTGCAGGCTCGCGAGATGAGTAAAGTGAGCAGAGTTGGTGATGTCTGAGAAACACATGCAGCCAAGTCTAGCTGGAACATCTTCCCTGCTGTTGTCTCAGATCTATACTTCAAAACTACTCCCTTCAGCTAGCCTGCCTTGGTTCAGTTCAGATTCTTGCCCCCTTCAGGGTTCATTTTGATCGTGTTCTTCCAAAGGTCTTTTTTGTGGTAAATGCTTTGTGGCAAGCATTTACGAGCAGCAGACTCCAGTGGTCAGGTCTGCTGGTGCCAGGATCCCAGCACTGACAGCGGTTGCAAAGCAGATGTGTCCCTGGAAGGGCATGAGAGAGAAGGAAAAGCTCAAGACTGTTTGGTTTGCTTTGCCTCTGGCAAGCTGCAGGGCGCCAAGGCAGGCAGAACCAGGGCTGAGGGATTGGTTGGTTAAGATGGATAAAAGAAATCCCACCTCAAATGTAGCTGCACTGCCATGCTTCAGTCCTTGGCTGCTGCCTGCTCTTAGTTCTCAGACTTCAGCGTTGGGAAAGAAGCCTGCTGAGATATCCTGGTGTAGGCAGTGTGAGGTAGTTTCATGGGGCAAACAAAAGGTGTGGGGAAAAGGCTGCCTCCCAAGGGGGGGGACTGCCTGATCTCTTGGAGCTGGGCAAAGAATCACAGAATGATGAAATTGTAGGGGTTGGAAGGGACCTCCAGAGATCATTGAGTCCAAGTGGGCACTGGTGACTGCTACGTGGATGTGAAACGGCTTCCAGAACTGCAGTGACTGTTCCTGTGTACTGCTGAGTCTTGGGGGAGAATTATCTTCTGTCTGACTGATGGCCTTGAGGAATCTGTAATGGTCTCCATCTATTCCTTGAGAAGAAACTGCATGCTCTTTCAGCACCTCTGATTAAGGGCCAGAAAAAGCACAACAATCCATCTCTGCTCCATCCGCTGAGCTTGTCACTTCTGATCAGCTGCCCACAGCTGTTCAGGTGAGCTGGAGCCCAGTCCCCCATTGGTGGGGATGGCATCTAGTGTGACTGTGCTGCCTGGGGACAACCTGGGGGCACAGAGGTGGGTACAGCCTGCAGTGCTGCAGTGTGCTCAGCTGGGGCGTTGATTCTGCTCACATCTGACTCTTGTCCTTCGTTCCCTGTTCTGGAGTACGGGTGGGCCGGAGACTCGGTAAGTGTGAAAGAAGAAGGGAATCCCACGGGATGGGTTCTGCAGGAGCCCAGATGCCCCAAGGGGGATCACCAGGAGTGGGGTTTTATAGAGCAGTGTTCCATTCAGGGCGGTAATTCAGTATTCAGTGCTGAAAGGGCAGCTGTGCAAGCAGCAGGGTGTCTGGTGCTACCTGAAGCCAAGCTGTCTGTATTAAGTAACATTTGTTACTCAGCTAAAACAATAAAAGCTGAAAACCTGTTTCTGGTGCTTCCTGTGTGGGCTTTCCTGGAGGGAGTTGTGGCACTATGAGTAACCTATTAATTGATCTCAGGAATGTGCAGCACTTCCAGCTTTCTCCCGCAGGGGGCTGCATGCCGTGAGCTTCTGGGACAGCTTCGTCCCTGTTTCCCGATCCCTGTCTGGTTCATCTTGGAGGTGATGCCCTCACAGCACCAGCAGGGGAGGCGGACTGGGAGCAGCCGTGGGCAGGTGGTGATGGAGCGAGTGCTCACAGGTAACCAAGCATGCTGCTCTTACACCCGCTGTCCTGGCTGCGTGGCAAGAGTTGTCTCTGCAGTAGCTCAGAAATGCATTTAGGCCTTGTTGAGCCACGTGCTGGGGTTTTCTGCTCACGGTGAGATGTTATCCTGTGCCTGGCTCCAGCCTGCCACTCGAGGGAGCGCAGTCACACCAAGGCAGCTCACAAAACCTCAGCCAAGCTGTGATCTTGTGTTGGCACTCCGGACTGGAGGCAGAGGAGCAATATAGGCACACTCTCGCATTCATGTGATCCTGCAGTCCCTGCATCCTGGAACAGCCTGCTTTTCTCTTTCCAAGGCAGCTTGGCATCAGCTCCCATAGCAGTATCCATGTGCACACTGCTGTGAGAGTGAAAGAGGGCAGAGAGAGAGCCAGGCAGCAATCCTGTCCTGTCCGGGGGAAGCTCCTCACTCTGTGCCAAGCAGGCCTTTTGTGTGCTGCAGATGCTCCTTGGGTTATTTATCACTATAGTGATTTATTTTGCTGCTTTCCTCCTCGTGTCACCTGTTATGTAACCCAAGGAAAAGGAATACGGTGCCATCTTGTGCACAGGTACTGAGAGCCCCTGTGCTCTTCCTATCTGTTTATTGTCCTGGAGCCAGCAGTGTGTACATAAATTTAGCTGCAGGTGTACTCTTGCACTTATCCCAGTGCCCAGGAGCCATTTCCCTCCCTCAGAGCATACGAGTGGCGTGCTCTGCTTGCTGAAAAATAAACCTTTATTTACATCTGAAAAGAGTCAGTGTGCAAAATGGTCTCACAGGGGTTACAGCTGTCTGGCAAACCTCCTGCTCAGCCACAGAGCCTGGTGCAGCCTCCTCCAACCTCTGCATTTCCCGAGGGCTGGGCCACGCTCCCAGTGATGGAGAACCGCCCGTATTCACCTGCATGGAGCTGGGAGTAAGAGCTGCCTCCTCCCTGCTGCTGGAGCAGCAAAGAGCTGTGTGATGGGAGCTGTAGCCTCGGCAGCAGGCCTGTTCTGCTACCCAAGGGAAGAGTGAGGGGCTGGGGGTGGAAGGCTGCTGCAATCAGCTTTTATGGGGGCACCAGAGCTGGGAAGAGAGCTCCTGCTGCAACTGATGCAGTGTCAGGGCTCAGGCTGCTCCAGGAGGTGCTGCGGTGCTGCGCTGGGGAGGAGAGCTGGCAGCCGGCAGGACAAGAAGAGGCTGGTGGGGGTTGCATTGCTCTGTGCAGGGTGGTGGTGAGCAGCTGCTGCAGCACCTCGGTACAGAGAGGTGGGAAGGTGGCCCGGCTTAGGTGAGGAGAGCAGGAGTGCAATGCCCAGCGTGGTGCTGGCACAGCTCGGGATGTGACTGGAGCCAGCACAGGTTGGATGCCAGTGCACGGCTGGGCCTGGTGGCAGCAGGTTCTGCTCCTTGCAGCTCTGCACACATCCGTGGGGCTGCTGGTGGCTGCTCCCTCGCTGTGTGCATTGGAATCGGATCCTCCAGCAGGAGCAGAGCCCTGCGGTGCTGCTGTCACTGTGTGCAGCAGAGCGTGGGGTGGTCGAGCTTCCACAGCTGCCACTTCTTCTTCATCTCTGATTTCACCTGGGGTGAGACACCCATGGCTTTTCCCTGGCAATGCCCTTCCCAGCACGAGCAGAGCACCCACCCTCATGAGCCAAAGTTGAAGCTACTCTGTTCCACAGCCCCGACCCAAAACCAGAGCCACATACCTCCTTGTTGGCAAAGCAGTACAGCACAGCCACCAGGAACCCCTATGGAAACAAAGATGGCTGTGAGTCCCCTGGGATGGGGGCTTTGTGCTGCCTTTGGGGCCGTCCCTAAGAGCATCCCCAGTGCAGGCACACCAACTGCCCACGTGGGTTGGGGAGAGGGGGCTGTCCTTGTCCTCAAGCTGGGTCACCATCGGGGCAGAAGGAAGGGAGAGAGGGCCCCCAACTCTTATGGCCCAGGACAGGGATGGGCTGTGGCTCCACCTCACCTGGAAAGAGTTGAGGAAGAGGGTGAAGAAGACCTTGATGTAGCGCAGGATGCCCGTGGTTTGCTCATCGGTGGCAAAGATGAAGACGACTTCGTGGATCCCAAAGAGGGGGATGAGTGTCAGCGTGGCTTTGGCCAGCCTGAAAGAGGGCAAGGTTTCCCATGGGCACGGCAGCCAGCAGGGAGCAGCTCTTATTAGAGCTCAGGGTTCTCATGTAATGAGGCACAGGATGGAGGAAGCAGCACAGGCTGCCCTGCTGCCCCCGCTCACCGCAGCTTGTAGTCAGCGTAGCCCTTCTGGTTGGCGCGCAGCTTGGCCAGGATCACCTTGAGGATCCGCATGAAGATCAGCAGGTTGATCTGGGGCGACAGTGCAGGGCATCCATGGAGCAGGGCCATCCCTCCCTTCACCCCAACCCCAGCCAGGGGCTGCCCCAGCTTCCAGCACTGTCGCAGGGGTTTCCTACCATGGAGGCGAGCAGGATGGGGATGCGGATGATCCACCAGTATGCCATGTTCTCGTTCAGCGCCCAGCACCTGCCCACGAGACACAGACAGAGGTGTGGTTGCAAGGTGCTGGGGTGCAGGATGAGGCCCCACAAACAGCCACTCACTCTGCATTCTCTTTCAGGTACTTGGCGGCCATCCAGGGCACCACAAACACCACGGGGGTCCCTGCAAGTCACACAGCACACCCTGTAAAACCAAGCACCCGCCTGAGCTGAGAAACCGGCCCCAGGCTGGGGACACTGTGGGGCAGCAGTGGGGCACAGGAACGGTCCCATGCCACCATGCACCCGGGTGGCTCCTACCCCAGCCCAGGTACAGGTACAGCCGGTAGTAATTCTTCTCAGAGAAGACTGCACCGATCAGCAGCTTGTAGAGGTAGACGGCCTCCACCAGGAACCAGTAGTGGTTGGCCAGGATGCAGTACTGCATCAGCACCTGTGCTGCACGACAGCCCAGTGCTGCCTGTCACAGAGAGACGGCGTGGGGCTGGGGGCTCGTCCATGGGGTGCCCCAAGAGCTCATCCACCACACGCAAGGATGCCCCAAGAGCTCAGCCAGGGTGTGCACGGTGCACCAAGGCCTCCGCTGTGAGGTACGTGCGTCCCTCAGAGCTCCCTCACAATGAACGGGAGCACAAAGTGCTCAGCCACAGTGGGGAAACAGCACCAGAGTTTGCCTATGGGATCCTTGAGCGGCTCAGGAACTTGCTCACAGGCTGCACGGACACACCAACGGCCCACGGGCTGGGTGCACGGCCCAAGAGCTCACCCACCCTCCGGATGCACCCACACCCCCCGTGCCCTCACCTCGTGGCTGAGCAGTGCCTGCCAATCGGCCACCTGCAGCACCTCTGCGCCCCAGCGCCTCTCCAGCAGCGCGTCCTTCACCATCACCGAGGTGGCCCGCAGCCCGAAGGAGGCGAACAGGTTGGCGTGGATGTAATTCCTGGTGCAGTGCAGCTTCCTGGGGAGAGCCGTGGGGTCAGCAGCCCTCAGCTGCACCCAGGGCACGCTATGGCCCGCAGCCCTGCTCCTACCTGAAGACGGTGAGGACGAGCAGAGCGGAGATGAGGGTGAGGAGTGACAGCGCGTAGCCCACGGTGTACAGCACTTTGAAGCTCACCATCAGCCTGCGGGCGCCTTCCTGCAGGCGAGCCCTGTGATTTCAGCACCCGCTGCCCGCCACGTGCCTTGGGGTGCCCCCACCCCAGCCGGGCTCCCACCTCCTCGGCGCCATCCTCCAGCTCCTCCTCACACTGTGAGTAGTCCCTCCACGGCTGGCTGCCGTTCACCATCACCCATTGCCCGTCAGCACCGCAGCGCCGGCTCACCAACCCGTGTTTCACTGCGGGCACGGAGCACAGAGTTCCTCGGGATGCCCAGCCCCCAGATGGCAGTGGGCACCCATAGGCACTATGTTCTCACTGCCCTCCCCGTGCCTCACGTGCTCCTGGCCCCTCTCATCCCGACCCACCGCGCTCAGCCCCAGGCCCCACAGCCCCAGCTATGGGACGGCCGCGGCTCAGCGTCACCTTTCTCAAACCAGGGCAGGTAGAAGGGACAGGAGACGTTGACGGCGGTGCCGGGGCTGCCATCGGGCCAGCAGGCGTACATGTCAAACGTGCGGTTGCAGAAAAGCCCTTGGGTCGATGGGGAGAAGCCGACAGTCGGATGCCGGCAGCTCAGACCCCCCCGCTGCCCCACACGAGGCGCGCAGACCCGCAGCCCTCGGGGCGTGACGCTGTGACCCGGAGCGGCCCCGCTGCCAGCCGTACCTGCGGGGTAGGGCTCGCTCGCCATCCTCCGCAGGCACTCATCCCGGTACCGCATCCACTCCTCGAAGGTCCTCTCCAACACCTTGGCCGCGCCGTGCTGCGGCGCAGAGCGGCTCAGAGGGACGCCCCGAGGGCAACCCTCCCCTAGCTCCGGTCCCCACGGCCGCCCCTTACCGGCACGGCAGAGAAGAGGCACATCCACGCGAGATGCACGAGGTACCCGGGACCCGGGGCGTCTCTCATGGTTGTGCCGGGTCCGGCGCTCTGCTCCCCGCGGTTGGTCCCGGCTCAGCCCCGGGCCGTGTCCCTGCCGGACCCCGACACCTCGGGGAGCCACCACCGCACCGCACCGCTCCCCGCAGCCCGGCTGCCCCAGGTGGTCGGCGGCGGAGCCGGGGCACGGCGGGTGCCACTGGGGTCCGGAGCCTTCCGCCCAGAGCTCTCCCTCCCATCAGAGCTCTCCCTCGCCTCGCATCCCCCTGGCTGAGCCCCCCCGCAGCCTCCCTACCCGGCTCCCAGTACCCCCGAGGGGTTCCGATCTCTCCGCACCCCTCCATTTCAGCACGGCTCCCCCCGCAGCCCCCCGTTCCCTTACCGTGTGCGGCCGTTCCGCAGCCCGGGGCTCAGCGACGCGAACGCGGCAGCGAACGGGCGGCGAATGCGGCCCCGCCGCTTCCCACCAACGCCGAGCCCCGACGGGGGGGAAGGGGGAGGGAGGGTGGGGGCGGCACCGCCTCCCGGGGCTCAATGAGGGCCGCCCCACCGAGAGCGCGACTCAGTGGGGAAGGGGGGGGGGGGGAACAGGCGAGGATGAGAAGGAGTCCCCTGAGCCCTTGGAGCGGTGGTGACAGAGGGGTGAGGGGTGCGGACCCCTTGAATACAGCCCAGGGAGGGGCACGGGGTGCTGTGCCCGCTGTGGTGGCTGTCCTTTAGTGGGGTGCTGCTGGGGTCACCTCACCCATGGGGACTGGGAGCGGGCAGCAGTGCTGGGGGACCGGGGTGTCCACCAGAGTCATTGGCAGGCAGTGCGGGGACAAAGCGTGGGGCAAGCAGGTGGGACAGGGTGTCCCTAAATACATCGATGGCATCGATTCATTGTGCAAAGGGTGTGATGTTTACCCTGAAACCAATCCGGTGGGCTCTGCACAAGGGAAGCAGCTCAGAGCAATTAGCAGCTGCATCTGTTGCTCAAGTGAAACGAAGGAGGGCTGAGCGTGTGCTGCTCGGAGTGAAACACAACCTGCTGCCTGGGGGGATGCGTGCCCTCGGGGTGCCCTCCCCAGCCCAGAAATCTGCTTGTGAAATGAGTGACCCTGTGTCTGGTGTGTGCAGTGTGGGGTGGAGATGGAAGGTGGATGCCGTGGGGCTTCTCTGCACAAGCATCACTGAGCACAGGGCACAGCACGGTGCTGCCCACCACGCCACTGTGGGATGCTGCAAATCCTACAGGGCAATGCAAAGGAGTTTGTGTCTGCAGGCAGTGTTTGCTGAGCCAGAAGGGCTCTTCCCCCCAGAGCAGCCTTGCTGGAAGTAACAGCACGGACAGCAGGAGGCACGTGGCCATGGGGCGCTGCTACTGTGCTGCTTCCCCGGGGCTGTGCTGTTCTCCTGGATGCAGACAGCTGCTGCGATGTGGCTCTGCTGGGAGCCTGGGGCACAGCAGAACGCCGGGGCACACATTTGGGGCTGGGAGGGGTCAGGCTCCCCATGGCCCTGCATCATGAGGCCGCCATCCCACAGCAGAGTGGTTGGTGCCAGCACACACGGATGCTCGGCGGTCTGGAACACACCTGCAGGGTCCCCTGGGAGCAGGAGGGCTGCTGGCTGCTGGCACTCTTTGGCCATGAGGGCCACCGGCTGGGCTCCCCGTGTTCCAGGGCCAGATGCAGCTCGGCTTTTGGGGCTGGTGGAGCAGGGACAAGAGGAACTCACCGTGCCTCTCCATATTGATGCCCTCAGGCAGGGTCTCCATAGCGACTGCGGTTCAGCCCGGCTGGATCCTGGCCATGGGGCACCGCTGAGCGTGGCTGGATGTGAGCCAGCTCCATCTCCCCACACTGTTCCAGAACAGCGGTGTCCCAGTCCCTGCTTAGGGTTGTGTGGGCTCTCTACATCTGTGCCCCACATCCCGTCGTGTGCAGCCCCACGGTGCCTGGGGGAGCTGAGCACCAAGCGGAGGCACAGCCTGAGTGCAGCAGCACTGCTGGTCCTCACACAGCAGCAATTCGCAGAACAGAAATGCGAATCAACACGTCCTGATTTGCAATTATTCAGTGAACTTCTCAGAAAAGGGTGCTGGAGCTTTGCTGGGTACAGAAATCTAGCATCAGCATGGGGCTGTGCGCTGGGGCTTCTGCTCTGCACACCTGCCCTGAGCTCTGGATGGGCTTTGGTCGCTTAAAAAGCAAAGTATTTCTATATCAGCAGGTGGTGCTATCAAAGGTAGCTGTGAGAGTGCAGTGCAGTGCTGTGGAAGCACATCTGTGGAAGTTCAGAGCTGCTCACCCTGGGCTTTGCTCCTGTCAGACGGTTCTGCACGCATTCAGCACAATCTGGATCCTGCTCACATCTCCTTGGCTCAGGCAGGGATGGATGCTGAAAACAAATCTCCAGAATTGCCAGAGCCCGGAGCAGCACAGTGCCCACCCAGTGCCACCACATCCCCCAGCAGTGCTCCTGGTGCACCACTGTCAGAATTAATGCTTCTGCCCCCAAACTCACCCCAAAGTAATTCCCCTAGCTCAGCAAGGAGCATGGGGTGGCTCACAGCTCTCGTTGCCCTCTGGGAAGCAGTGCTCACTGCCCTGTGCCCCCAGAAGGGAGGTGCCCTGGGGTATTCCTGCAAAGAGCAGGGGAAAATCAGCCTTTCGTGCCATTAGATGCTGGAGAGTCTTTCTTACAATAGGACAGTACCAGCCCAGCACCTCTGCAACCCTTCCCACTGGTGGGATCATTATGGATTTCGTGTGGATCTGTGGGTTTTGCAGAGAATTTATTCCCACTAAAAGTAGTTTTGTGAGATGCTGGTGGGCACAGAGCCTTGGGGGGCAGGGAGAGATGCTTTCCTGAGCACGCACCAGGTGAGTCCTTGCATCCCAAGGGACACACGTGTATGGGATGGAGCCGTGCCCCTGGGGAGGCTGCGACACTCCCTGCCCCACCGCCTGCTCTGACAGATCTGTGCTGGGCTCACAGGGCTGCTGTTGGATTTGGCATCGCTCCCAGAGGCCTGCAGCAGAACCTGGGTCACAGCTCTGCATTCAGAGCTGCCCAAATCCCCCTCTCTTCCACTGAGTTTCTCGCGTTCAGACAGGAAGGCTGAGCGATAAGATCAAGAACTTCTGTGAAAATCATCTATATTCACATCCTGCCCCAGAGCTGGACTCTTTGTACCCGTCCTCTGCAGAAGGGCACAGCCTGCCCTCCTCCATATGTCAGGGCTCAGCAGGCAGTGCTGCATCCTTACACCGTGGTGCGGCCGCTGTAACCCCAGCATCCGTAATTCAGGGCCGAGAGGCTGCAGCTCTCATTTTGCTCCTACCCATTCAGAAGCTGGGTGGGACTTCTCCATTCCCACCTACTTAAGCAGATCTCATCCCATCCGCTGCTGTCCTCCCGGCTGGCCCAGCAGGATGGGATAAATGCACCACACACACCTGGCAGATGTTGCTTCCCAAAATCTGGGAGCTGGGCAGCCTGCAGGATCCCATTGCTCCTTACCCAAATGCACACTTGCTGCTGTCCCAAGAGGCTCAGCCCTGCTGCAGGGGCATCTCCAGCACAAATGTGGGGGCAGAGGTGGGAGCACTGCAGACTCCAATCCCTGTACTCTCTTGTAAAACTGGAAGGGCTTTGCAAAAATAAAGGATTTTCAAGGACTCTACAAAACCCAGCTTTAGCCGAGCTGCATCTCCTGCAGTTCCTCACTGCAGCAGGAATTGCTGCTGGGCAGGGCTTTCCACCACCATCCTTCCATGGAGGTCAGCAGCCAAAATGTTGGCTTTGCTGGAAAGACCATGAACAGAACGTGATTTAGGATCCCTTCCCATGGCAGTGGTGATGACCTGGGCTTCCAGCCCCACGCTGCCAGTAAATGCAGCTGTGCCAAGACACCTTACATTGGGCACCCCAAAATGAGGTGAATGCAGGGGAGATGAGCTCTTCCAGCTGGCTTCAGGCAGGGCCGCTGTCACCCAGCTTTGAAGGGAGCTGCTGGAGGGTGGGAATATCACTGTGCTCCTCACTGCTGGGAGCCCGGTGCCTGCTGTCCCCATCCGTCAGACAAAGCCTGGATAGATCTGGAAATCTATTTGCTTGGGGATGCTTTTCACCCTAAGTAGCCTCTCTCGCTTATCTGCTGAGTGATCAAGCAGGCGGTTGATTTATTACCCCTTCTGCTTGATACATGGGCTGCTGCTTGGCTCTCCCAGCTCCCTTAATGCCAGCACAGGCAGGAGCTGCCGTGCAAAGTAATTACTGGGAGCATGACATTCCTGGATGCTTCCCTTCCCCGGAGGCAGAGCTCCACACCCCTGGGGTCCCTTGGCATAAGCTGTGCTGTGTCTTCCTCCCCAGCTGTCCCCCATCCTCCTTAGCTCAGAATTGCTCCTTACAAGGCCCATCCTTTCTTCTGGAGACATGAGATGCAACCCAAGCCTTTTCTTCCTCTCATTAATAATAATAAACATACATGTAGACATTTTTCAGCTTTAGATACGTAAGTTTCAAGGCAGGGTGGGGGTTTGGATGAAGCTGGGGCACAGAGGAGCCTCCTGCATACGATATGGGCACAGCTCTGCTGCCATGGCTCAGCCTGCCCAGGAGGGCTCTGTGACCACAGCTCCTGTTCCTGTGCTCCTACACCCCAAAGTGTCTCCAGGGTGCACCCAAAGTGTCCCTGAATTGTCCCCAAGCTGCCCCGCATGGTTTGCCTGCTGCTGAGCGCAGTTCATTTGGGATCTTTGAGCATCAGAAGTTCCTGCTGCAGTGATCTGGCACAGGAATCTCAGCTGCTCCTCTGGGCTGCGTGTGATGGGAACAATGCGAAGCAGCAGCTCTCCACAAAGTATTATGGAAAAGAAATGCTTAAGGACAGTGTGCCAGGTGCTGCGATGCGAGGATGTGAGAATTTGGCTAGAGGGATATGAGAGTAACTTCAATGTCAAGCATTGCCATTCTACTGCAAAGAACAGTAGAGCTCTAAAAATGAAAATAAACAACCAAAAAGGGAGATGGTGGCTGATGGAGGAGCAGGGTGAGACTGGTGTGATCCCTCTGGTTCTAAAATGGTGATAATGGGGCAAAGCAGCAGAAAGCTCTCTTGGCTGCAGGGGGATCCCATGTGGGCAGATGTGACCAAACTGCTCTTTCTCTCTTTGGACTTTGGGAAGAAGCAAGCAGAGGCATGCTGCAAGGTCGGGTTGTCCCTGCACTGAGACTGCATCACCTTCCCCATCCATCTCCTTGTTGGCTGCAGAAATCTCCCTCCCTGCTGCACAAACCAAGGCACTCCCAGGGCACGGTTTGCACTGGCTTCTTTTCAGGAGCTTCTTTTCCAACAAAATCTCCAGCTTTTGCAGTGGTGAAGGAGAAAAAGCCCTTAGGTGTGAGCTGGGCTGTGCTGTGGCCATGGGAGATGGGCAGCTGTGGCCATGGAGGTGGGCTTACATGCTGTGGTATGGGCACAGCTTTGCAGCTGTGGTTTGCTCGTCAGTGCACCCCGGTTTGCTCCAAAGCTGCACCCACTCCAGTAGCACATTTGTGCTGCCTGGTATTCGTGTTTGAGTACAAAAGGAAGAGCTGAGGTGAGCAGCACATTTATCACCGATTGGGTGATAAACGTGCTTTGGATCTCACATCTCGAGTGCTTGGAGCTGGCAAGTGGAGCACTGCTTCTCCAAACTGCAGAGCGGGCCTGATGAAACCGGGCCAACCCCCTTAGAGCACAGACCACAGAATCACAGAACGGCCAGGGCTGGACCTCAAGGATCACGAATCTCCAACCCCCTGACGCATGCAGGGCCACCAACCTCCACATTTAATACCAGCCCAGGCTGCCCAGGGCCCCATCCAACCTTGAACACCTCCACGGATGGACGGGGCATCCACAGCCTCTCTGGGCAGCTGTTCCAGCACCTCACCACTCTCACAGCAAAGAACTTCTCTCTGACATCCAACCTCAATCCTGCCTCTTTCAACTTCAAACCATTTCCCCTTGTCCTGCTGTTATCCACCCTTTTCAGGAGCTGACTCCCCTCCTGTCTGTAGGCTCCCTTTAGGTACTGCAGGCTGCAATGAGGTCACCCCACAGCCTTCTTTTCTCCAGGCTGAACAAGCTCAGCTCCCTCAGCCTGTCTTTGTAGTGGAGGTGCTGCAGCCCCTGATCATCTCTGTGGCTCCCCTGCACCCTCTCCAACAGCTCCCTGTCTTTCTTGTCCTGGGGGCTCCAGCCCTGGACGCAGTGCTGCAGATGGGGCCTCACAAGAGCAGAGCAGAGAGGGACGGTCACCTCCCTGTCCCTGCTGCCCACCCCTCTGCTGATGGAGCCTAGGATCCCATTTGTTTTCCGAGCTGTGATCACTCACTGCTGCCTCCCGTTCAGCTTTCAGGATGCCCAGGTTCTTTGCTTTCCGCCTAAGTTTGGTCCCTCCGCCGCGCCGTACCGCGTTGCCATAGCGACGCGCGGCGCGGCCTGGCGCGATGTCGTACCGCGATGTGCGGAGTGAGTTCCGCGGGGCGGGCGGGCACGGCGGGACCCGGGGGCGGCTGCGATTTACGGAGAAGCTCTTTCCAAATCCCTCTGTCGCTCCGCGGAGCGTTCTGTAGTGACGTGACGGGGTCGGCTGCCGAGGTCCGTCCGATGTCGGTAGGCCTCAGCTCCGCCGCGCGCTCTCTTTCAGACCTGGCCGAGATGCTGCGGGCGCTGGGTTATCCCCGCCTCGTCTCCATGGAAAACTTCCACGGGCCGAACTTCGCGCTGGTGGCCGAGCTGCTGCTGTGGCTGGTGAGGAGGTGGGTACGGGCTGTGCGGTGTGCCGAGATGCCTTCCGTGCGCACCTCACGAAGCCCGGCTGCTCCCATCTCCTGAGCGGGGGCGCCCACGGCTCACAGCCCGCCCGGCCTCGCCTGGCGGTCTGCAGGGACGGGGCACGGTCAGCTCTCTGTGCAGCCTGTGCTGGTGCCTCGCTGCCTAATCGCTATCCTTACATCTAATCTAAATCCCCCTTCTTTTCCTTTTAAACCGTTTCCCCTCGCCCTGCCACGGCAGCCCCTGCTATAGGCCGTCCCCTTCCTCCTTACTGCCCCTTTAGACACTGAAAGGACCCCGCTCCCCAGCCGTGCCAATGCGCAGTGGCGGCTCCTCGGGGCGCAATTTCGAGCTTATTGCGGTTGCCATTGCTTTGCGTCGGCCTCGTTTAGCGTCTGTGCTGTTTCAAAAAGAGATGCTCACCTACTGCTGTCCTGCTGTACTTTTACAGCCACCAAACCCGCAGACAGACTTTAAGTGTTTATGGGATGTGACTTCCTAATCGAGTTATCTTCTTTCCTCCACATGAATGGAAAAATAACCAAAGCTGCTCCTAACGTGCAATATTACAGTGAACCATGAACCACGGCAGTGAACTGCCTGCCTAATTGCTGTTTCTTTGGCCTGAATTTGTAATTAATACAACAGCGGGAATCTAAGTGTAGTGGATGTGTTTCCTGAATGTTGTCACAATAGTAAAAGAATAAAATAGGGGAGTACTTATAAAATGATTCAGAAGTGCTGGAATTGAATTACCTACACATTCTTTACCCTGTTACACACAGGGCCTGCGTTACTTGTTGCCTTCACCTCATGTTTCAGAACATAAATCGAAGCTCCCTCATGGTTTGTAGCAGCTCCACCACATGACAATTGACAGAAATCAAAACTGCTGCTCTTTAAAATAGCATTTTTTAACATGCCCACGTGCTTAAGAAGCTCAAACTGGTGTGTTGTAACATTGCTGACAGCCCTGAGCCCAGGAGGAGGTGATTTCATTTCAGACCAAACCTCAACTGAAAGCCAGCATCCCTCTCTGTTCAGAGTTAGGCTCATGCAGTAACAGGCAGCTTTTCTGCTCGAGAAGCCTTTTGATTCCACTTTAGAGCACAGGGGATGCTTTGCATGTACCTTGCTCTTAATTGCAAACATGATTTGAAAGAGAAGATTGGGGTTTTTTGCCTGCCTGAATGTTGGAAATCTCAAAGCCTTTTATGAGATCGCAGGAATTTCTCTTTTTTCTTCCCTGGATCCTGTAGGGTGGTGACTTCTAGAAGCTTCTGCATTTCACTGATGTTTTTTTAAAAGCAGTTCACAAGCTTTCAGTCTGTTTTCTTTTCTTTGTGTTTCATTTGGGTTAGAAAGTAGTATTTGTGGAAGGATCTCTGAGGGCAGGGACCTCACTCTTGAGTACTTTGAGAGGCTGGAAACACGTCTGGCTTTGTTACTGCCAGCAATATCAAGCTGGCACAGGGTATTTTCATTCAGCACCTGAAAGCTGGCAATATTAACCTGGTGGTTTTGAATTGTGGAGCCACAGGTGATGGAGGTCAGTTTGGTTGCTGTCAGCTCTTTGTGGTTTAAGTAGGAGGTTATTTTCTAGGCGTTTCCTGGCCTTGACATTGCCAACTCCATTTTGCTCCTTTGCAGAACCCTGATTGAAAATACATATTTAGTGTCCCAAAGGACCAATTCCTGATGGAGAAACATCTCAGGCTTTACAACTTGTGCCTTTTGGGCACAGCCCCAGCGTGGCACCGTGGGGCCTTGACAGCCCTAGCTGCAGCAGGAGCTGTTTGCCAGGCTCATACATGTTGGCTTTTTTCACTTCTTTCTGACTTTGCCTCTCAGGTGAAGCAGTTTCCTTAACCTGCACGTGAATTTCTCATCCGAATCCATGTGTGTTTCCACAGGTATGAACCTCAGTCTGACATTCCCCCTGATGTTGAGACAGAACAAGACCGGGTTTTCTTCATTAAGGCTGTAGCTCAGTTCATGGTACGTCAGCTTATTTCCCACTGAAATGCTTGTTCCATGTTGGCGTGGATGATTTTGCCCCTAATCCCTTACAGTTTCCTTGTGAGGGGTGGCTGAGCTGTACTGTATGCTTGTGATGTGTGTCAAACAGCAAGCAGCATTGTTTCCTCTCCAAAGTAATCACATCCAGGTTGTGAAATTGACCAGTGTTCTGCTCAGGATTGAAAATAAAAAAAAAGAAAGAGGAAGAGGAAGAGGAAAGCAGAGGGAACTTTATTTTAGGACTTAGATAGTAAAGCTTCAGCTGCTGCAGTGATAGAAGCGACACAACTCCGTCCCTGACCCTGCGTGTAGTTTCATTTGAGTCACAGGAGTAGGTTGGTAGGAATGTTCCTGCTTGACTCAGAGGCTGTTTGGGGCCTGGTGCTCTCTTGGGTTTGTGTTTGCATGGCTCCAAAACGAGGCCCTGTGGGATCCTGCAGTGGCAGTGACCCTGAGCTTGCACAGAAGTTGGGTTCTTACTGAGGTCTTGTGCTGTTGCATCTGGCTTTACACAATCAGGAACTGCTCATCTAATGCTAAAACAGTGTTAATCCTCATCACTGCATTCTTGGAGTGGAAGAAAAAAGGTAAGAGTGAAAGATATAGAGGATCTATTTAAAATAGATTCAGAAGAGATTCTTGGTTATCTACAGACAATTTTGGGTGCCACGTTTTCCTTACGGTGTCGAATCAGACTTTAGCATTCTGTTGTGCATGCCTTCTCATGAGATTGAGGCATATTTTGCTCAGCACAAATCTTTTACCACCGCTGCAAAATAGCTGGCTACACCTCAGACATGAGGCTGCCTGCTTGAACAAGCCGTGCCATTATGGCAATCTGGGAAATACGTGTGGTTCTATGTGGGCTTTGCCTCTGTTTTCCTAAATTTGAGTGAAATACATTTTTTTTTCTTTTTGCTTGACATTGATTTTTCTCTCTTGAGGCTGAATGGAGCTGAAATTGGAATTCCTGTCTTTAACCACATCCTTCATGGCGTGGTGTGTAGGTTTTCTTTGTGCAGTGGATGTTTAACAGGTTCTGTCCACTTAATGACAAACTTCTCTTAAAATTGAATCCCCGCTGTTTCCATGATTCAGTTTTTTTAGATCCCTTCTACTGAAGGAGAGGGGAAGAGCACATGCTTGGCTTTCCTCATTCTGTGTTGGTTCAGCTGAGGTCGTGGCAGCCAATATTTTCAAAAACGGTGGAGGGTTTTTGTGCTGCAGGTCTCACAGTGGCCCTGTTTGGAGTGCACAGCATCAATAACCTGTTCTTCTGGCTGTGCTGCACACATGAGGGAGGTGCAGCCACTTGGCAGGGGGTGCAAGGACCACACTTGTGTCCATTCTCTGACAGATGCGTGGTTTCTGTGATGCTCGCTTTTCTCCTTTGCTATTTTGAAGTATAAAAAGAGGGTATTGTAATTTTTAATGACTTTTTTTTTTCTTTACAGAGATGGAAGGCAAGAGAATGAAGTCAGTAATGTTGTAACAGGGAATAATTTGAGAAACAATAAAATACTCTGAAGCTACCGGTGGAAGAGAAGGCAGCTAAATTAGGATAATTGATCTTATTCTTGTAACTCGTTAAGGGTGAAATTTACCTCTCTGCAGCATCATCACAAGGCCTGGGCAGCACTTACGTTCCACTTAAACTTAATTTGAGTTTAAGTGGTGCACAGGGTTTTTGCTGATCTTCACATGGGGAAGAATTAATGAATAGTTTGAGGTTTTTTTTGTTCTGGCAATTATCTGCAAATGTTCTGGCATACAGAAAGTACACACGTCTCAGAAAGACTTCTTCAGAAACCACAGTGATATGGTTAAGAAAATCTCTTTCCAAACAGGAAGATTTGTTTGGAGCAGACAAGTGCCTCCAGTGAGAGCTTCTGAGTGAAGTCAGAAGAGGCAAATGGAGATTTTGTTGTTCTTTGTGGCGTGATGGTTTCTTTCTTTCCAAAGGCTACCAAGGCCCACATAAAGCTCAACACCAAGAAGCTGTACCAGGCAGATGGCTATGCAGTGAGAGAGCTGCTGAAGGTCACCTCTGTGCTGTACGGTGCCATGAACACGGAGGGAGTGGAGTGCACAGACATCACTGAAGAAGACAGCAGCAAATTCAAGTTTGATCTTGGCTCAAAAGTAAGGAAAACTTGTACTCTTGGTGTAGGCAGGTGTGTTGTGTGAACCTGTGCAAAACAAATGCATTTTCTGTCTGAGATTGTAAGCAGAGAACGTTCTCACAAGGAAGTTGGATGGCTTTGTCTTGGCTGCACTGCAGGACTTGTTTTAATCTCTGTGTCCTCATATCCAGAAGCATAGTACAAGGAAATGGTGGCACCAGATTGGTTACAATTGTTTTGAAATGCTGTTAAAATTGTAGAGATGTTGGAGTGCACAAGGATGAAGGTGATTTTCTGTCTACTAACATCACTGCGGCGGTGCCAGCTTCCAGAAGACTGACTGAACATTGGCTTTTGGGCCAGTTTGCACTGAACAAAAAGGGAATCTCCACATTTTCCTAACAGACATCAAAGCCATGCAAGCCCTTAAATGCCTTCCTGAGATACTAAAGAAAGCCACGCTGTGTTAAACAAGAGTTCTTGTTGCTGCTTTTCGTTACTTTTAGCTCCTCTCCTATATCCTGATATAAAATTTGGTTATTTTATAGCAATGCTCTGTGGTATCTGCCTGTTAGACTGTAATACTGCTGTTCTTGAAAAGATGGCAGAACCACAATTTCCTCTTTGTGAGGAAAGCACCTCAGAGAAATCACGTGGAAAACCACTTCCAGATGATCCCTGCTCAGTGCTTACACACTGTCCTGCTCACATACCTTTTGGTGTGCACACCTGTACATATGAAAGAGAAGATGTTTCTGTTTGCCATGAGTAGCACATGAACCAACACGTGGCTGAGTCAGTTCTGAGGAGGTTTTCTCATTGACCTGAAGGGTCTGGGGTCTCACCAGGCAGCCTGTGTCTAAATGGTGCCTAACCAAGGCCAAGTTTAAGCCCAGAGGTGGGCTTAATCTGACTCCAGTGGACAACTTCAGTGCTGTGGCAGAGCTTCAGTCTCTGTGCTGGCCTCCTTTTTAAACACAAAAATAAGAAAAATCTGTTGTTGATTTTCTTTGTGATACTGTGAATGCTCTTTTACTATTCTGTGCTCCTGCTGTGTTTCCAGATTGCTGACTTGAAGGCAGCTAGACAGCTTGCTTCTGAAATCACCTCCAAAGGAGCAAGTCTGTACGACTTACTTGGTAAAGAGGTAGAGCTGAGGGTAAGTACATCATGGGGAGTGGATAAGAACATTTGTTCACTAGATGCTGCAGAGGAGAAAGGTGCAGAAAGCGGAGCAGCTGCTTGTGACAGCTGCATCTGAAATGAATATTGTGTTGCTTGAAGGAATGGGTCAAAGTTTGTGTTCTCTTCCCACTCATTTTAATACTCAGTTTTTATTAATACTCGATTGCAGTGAAACAGAGAACAGTTTGGCATTTCTCCTTTAGAAGAAAACTGAAGTAACCTCTGTAGAACCGTTTGGAAATATTGACTTTGTGTTTATGTTCTAGCAGTGCTGATAGATATATTTGGAAAGATAAATTATTAATGCTCTGAGTTATCCAAGTGCAAGGCTCATTATTTCTGTTACAGTAATTGAAAGGCATGGAAGCCTGCAGGGTACAGATTTTTCAGTTTAATTGCAAAATCACCAGCTACTGCATGAAGTCACAGACGTGCCATCAAACTTTGCCAATAAATCTCTCAATTTGTTTCTCTAATGTGCTTATCTGTAATGCTGGAGGTTATTTGTTTACTGATAATAGACACTTAGACAAGGGAAGCCCTGGAAGTTCTGGCATCATTTTTTGGTCATCTTCAGGTTTGTAACATCTGAGCTGTGGGAAGCACATCCTGTAAGGGCAGCAGGCTGTGTGCCTTGACAGCTAATGCTCTTAGATCCTTCTTGGTGAAGTGCAGAGATTGTGTGAAGCATTGCCTCTCCTGCAAGATACGACAGCGTGGTGTTCAGCCACATGAAAGACATGAATATTTTTACAAGGGAGAGAGGAGTGATAATCCACCTGAATTCAACATAGACAGGTCTTACAGAATGGTTAATCTGTTACTTCTCATCTGGTATTCTTTGCTTAATATCCTGGCTTTGAAATAATTTTCACGTGACGACCACCTAATGTGTTAATGTTTGCTTTAGCATTAAGCTGTGCTGTTAGTGTAGGCAGCACCTCTTGGAACTCAGCTAAAAGGTCAGGTACAGGCCAGGTCAACATGTTAAGAAGTCATTAAGCATTGCTTTGAAATTGGGCATTGTTTTATCTCTTGAAATTGAGGCTTTTAGGAGCCCAAGTGACTGCAGTAGTGGACCTTCAAAAAGGGACTTGCACGAGTGCAGAGCACTGAGGACATGGAGTGACAAATCAAGGGCTGGATGAGTGCTTCGTTGCAGCCACTTCTCCTTGCACCCATTAAGAGATCTTGAGCATTATTCTGTTGAAGGGGCAGTTTGTAAAAGGACAATTGATTATTTACTCTACAGAGTGTCTTTCTCATGACATAATGACTGAGGGCACGAGCTGCAGCTGATGGATTTTACAGAGGTGCTCAGTTTACATCTTGCAAAAAGGTCTGACGGACTGGATTTGTTATCTTCAGGAAATCCTGCCATGGGAAAGACAACCTCTGCTTCTGCCTCGTTAGCTCTGAGTTTGTATCTAAAAGCACAACAGAGTGCAGCACAGAAGCTGTGATGCTGTGTTCCTGTGATTTGTTCCTGGCTTCAGCCTTCTGAGTGATTTGTTGGAGCTGAAAACCCCGTTTGTTTTGGGGTTACAGAGCCATAAGGTTGCACTAAGCAGCCTTCCCTTTAGCTGTGTGGCTTTATGCTTGCCTTCTAAAGATTACTGGTGATGGTGATTACTCATCTGTTGGTTCTTGTTGCTGTCAGTTTCTTTATTGCAGACGAGGACTCTGCACTTGCAGTGTTTGAAAGAGAAAGGGATAAAAGCCAGTAGTAGCCATGGCCTCTTTGGGGTGGAACCAGTGCTGGGCCTTTGCCTGGGAGTGCAGTGGGTAATGGTCTTCCCTGGGACTGTGTGCCCCGTTCTGCTGAGAGGATGTTGTAAAATGGGAGCAATTCAAGCGCTTTCACACGGAGTGTTTTTAACTGGGATCTCTTCGTTTTGGTTTTTTTTTCTGGCAAATGTGTTGAATCTTATAATGAACGTGTGAATTGATAGGAAGGGATGAAGAATTTGTGTGCTGCTAGGAATTGGAAGGCTCTTCACAAAAATATACCTGTTGCTGTTATTTTTTTTACAGAACGGCAGTTTAGGTGCTGTAAAAATTATTTGCAGCCCATGTGCTGGAGAAAGCAATCTCCTGAAAATGAGCTGAACTTAAAGCTGTTATTCTGAGTTGTTTACAGACTGCTTGTAGCAGAGAATTGCCACGACACCAGTGCTGGGCAGATTGACTGCTTTTGGCAGCCGTGCCCCTTGTTGCATGGGGAGCTGATGGAGGCAGGAACACCAGTGCCTTTGGGAGAGGTTGGAAAACAGAAGTGAGACTTAATGGAAGAGGTTTCCCCCAGCTTTTGTTTCATTCTTTTCAGGAGCCACAGAGCAAAAACCTCACTCTCGAGTGGATATGGCTGCTGTAGCTTCTGTGCTTGTGAAACAGATTTAATAGCTTTCTCTTCCTATCTAAAGCTTAAATAATAATAAGGGGAAATGCTGTTTTATGGTTTGCTGATAGCATCTATGCTACGGTTTTGATTCATTATAGCTGTGATTCAGTTCAGGAGCACTAACCTTGCAGAGCTATGGTGCCTCTGACTTGAATGTGGCTCTGTGCTTCTAGAAGCAGATAGGAGAGGGAAGCACAGAGCAAACTTACAGGCAGGAGGTGAACTCAGCTCTGTGGAGCAGTAGGGCTGAGCTGGTTGAGCAGTGTGCTCAGCACTCCACCGTGCAGCTTGCTGCTTGGCCTTTTGTGCTGCAAAAGCCTTTGAAAGCTGTTGAAACTCCACAGGCTTTGTGTTTTAATCCTGTAGAACTTCTCTACCACGTTCCTGTTTCCACAATGAACTTCTGTAAAGAAAGTTCTTTCCAGGTAAAGTGGGCATCTCATCAGTGGGGCCAGGAGCTGCCAGCCCTGCCATTCCCATGTGTGTGTGTGAGCAGCAGGAGGGCAAAGGGAGCTCAGTGTGGCAGCCCAAAGCAGCCCCCTGGCAGCAGCAGCTCCATCCTGGCTACGGTGCAGCATCCTCAGGGTTCAAAGGGGGATTTCCTACCTGAAGTTGGTGGCAGGAGGGCAGGGTGTCACTGGGAAAATAGGGGGTTTATGGTAACCTTGGGACAGGTGATTCATTACCTGTAACCTGATAGATTAGATTTCATCATCCTCATTTTGCCTTCCAAATATTTTAAAGTAATTGAGCTATATAGAGCTCGCTTGAGTATGAAATGAGCTCATCAAGTGAGGGGCTGGGAGCCAAATGCAGTTGTTTTCTGCCATCACCATTAAGTCTGATAATGGCTGTGGAAGCTGGTGGAGTTGCAGTTATTTCTAAACAGCCAGTGCTGAGGGCAGGAAAGAATTGCCTGTAATTTCACACTATCCTCCCTAGATTCTTTTCTCCACAGCCTGCTGGGATGGGATCCTATGCCTGCCCTTCCCACTCTGTTTCAAGTGGGCAGAAGTGCTGTGAGTTGTGACCTCACGTGGGGAATTTAGAGCCTTGTGTGTAGATAGCACATCAGTTGCCATTCCTTGAAGGTTACTTTTACTATTTTTTAATGTGAAGATTATTGTTTCCATTGCTTATTTTCTTTAGACATTGCATGGCTAAGTAATGCACGCACTAAATGGTGTTGGTGGAGAGATTGTGCTATTAGAGAGCAATAGGAGAGCAGTTGGGTTTATTTCTTCATCACATTTTATGTACTGAGCCTGTTGCATATATTAAAACGTGTTGATGGATGTGATACAGTGCTAATGAATTAGAGAACGTGGTGGTTTTTTGTTCCCTGAACCTCTTCCTTTTGTTTTTTTTATTCCTCCCCTCCAATTCATCCATTTCCAAATGCTGAAATGGAGGATCTCAGTACCTGGGCTTAGTTAAGCTGAGGTCTTGTTTCTGTCCTGGGTGAAGACTGCTTCATTTTCCTGTAGCTGTAAAGGAAATGCTGGCATTTGGCACTAATGGGTTGAACACATCTGTTTTCCTTGTCTCTGCACCTCCTGGGGAAAGATCACTGGGAAAAGTAAAGTAAAACTCATTTTTATTTCCTGTAGACACGTTGACTCTAATTTGTGTCACAACCTTGCCTTTCTTTAGAGGAGCTCTTTTTGCACGTAGTTGCTATAGGAGCTGTGTGGAAAATTGTTATGCATGAGGTAAATGATTGTTCCAAGCCATAGGTCACTTTAATAAATTACTTTCTGAATGAAAACAAATTTCAGCTGAAGGAGAGAAGAGTTATTAAGGGAAAGTCTCTATTAGATGTGTTGCGGATACATGTTGATGTAAACGTGCCTGTATTTATTGGGAAGTGTGTTTGTTTTCTTGGAAATGTGGCAGTGTGCCTTTCTGAGGCCTTTATAAATCCATCATTTCCTGACTGCGTTCTGGTGTATATGTAAATTGCTTTCAGAATTAATCTATAATGTTAAAAACAACCACCAAAGGTCACCCAGTGCTTCATTTAGGAGCACTGCAGGGATCAAAGCATCAAAACCTGCAGGCACTCCTTTGCTTTGCTCAAACTATGATGCAGTTGGTTAAGATTCTGCAGGAAAACAACAAGTACCCAAAGCCATGCTTGTCTCATTGGATGGAAGTCACGTGTGTCCCTTTTGGCTTCATTAAGAATCCAGGTTTTATGTTTGAGAAGAAGGAGCAGTGAACAGCCCTACGGAAAGCCTTTTGGTTTTAAAATGCATTGGGCCCAAACTTTGGCAAGACAGTTTGCTGCTTCCACTCTTAGTGGTCCAAGCATAGAAATTGGAAAGCTGGAATTCAGAGAGTCTGTTTTTGAATATGCACAGCACAAATTCTATGCACAGAGATGTATTCAGCTCTGTTTTACTCTCTTACTGGGACGAATTCTGCATTGCATGACTGTATGGCCCTGATTTTTCACAGCTTTTATATCCAGCTTTGGAAGAAGAGCAAGGCACTTGGAGTTTTGGATTTCTAGCTTTTATTCCTCCCCTCAGGTTGGTAATGCTGGGTTTTGTTTGGGTATGGAGTAGGAA